AAGGAGGAGACAGGAAACAAGGAGGAGAAAGACTAAGGGGACAGGAAGAGGAAAGACAGGAAAGAAAGAAAAGCCAGAAAAGACCAGAGACAAAAGGAAAGGAGAAGGGGGACAAGACAGGAAACACAGAGGGGGACAAGAGGAGACCAGGAAGGGACAAGGAAAAAAAAGAAGGGGAGGGGAGGAAAAAGAACAGGAAAAATGAAGGAAAAAAAGAAACAGAGGAGAACCAGGAAAGAGGAGAAAGAAGGAAAGAAAAAAAGAGAGAGACCAGAGAAGACAAAAAAAAAAAACAAAAAGGAGGAACAGAAAGAGAAGAAAAAAAAAAAAGAAAAGGAGAATCCAGGAGAGGGGACAAGGAGGAAACCAGAAAGGAGGAGAAGGAGGAGAAAGAAAAAAAAAGACAAGGAGGAGACCAAGAGAGGACAAGAGGAGACAGAAACAAGGAGGAGAAGGAAGGGGGAAAAAAAAGAGAAAAAGAGGGAAAGAGACAAGAGGAGAAAAAAAGAAGAAGAGAAGAGGAAAAGAAGAAAGGAGGAAGAAAAAGGAGAAAAAAAAGGAAAGAAAAAGGGGAAAGGGAGGAAAGAGAACCTAAGAAGAGGAGGAAGGGAAAAGGAGGAGGGGAAAAGGAGGAGACAGGAGAAAAGACAAAAAAAGGAGACCAGGAGAGGAAAGGAGAAAAAGGAGAGGGGACAAGGGAGACCAGGAGAGGGGACAAGGAGAGACCAGGAGAGGAGAAACAAGGGAGGGAAAGAGGAAGACCAGGAAGAAAGGAAAACAGGAGGAAAGGAAAAACAAAACAGGAGGGGGGACAAGGAAAAAAGACCAGGAGAGGGGGAAAGGAGGAGACCAGGAAAAAAGGGACAAGGAGGAGACCAGGAGAAAAGGACAAGGAGGAAAACCAGGAGGAGGGGAGGAAACAAGGGGGGACAAGGAGGAGACCAGGAGAGGGGACAAGGAGGAGACAGAAAAGGGGACAAGGAAAAGACCAGGAAAAGGGACAAAAAAGGAGAGACCAGGAACAAATAAAAGACCAGAAAGGAAAACAAAAGACAGAGAGGAGGGGGGACAATGGAGGAGAAGGAGAAGAAAAGGAGGAAGACCAAAAGGGGGGACAAGGAGGAGAAAAGAAGAAGAAAGGGAACAAGGAGGAGACCAGGAGAGGGGACAAGGAGGAGACCAGGAGAAAACAAGGAGGAGAAAAAGGAGGGGGAAATAAAATATTAGTTGCAGAGATGAAAATACTTCCTTCTGATTGGACACTCTGTAGGCCACATCTGCATATAAAAACCATATTTGTAGCCCCTGTAGAATCCCAGAGAAATGCAGAAAACGGTTATATGGCGCCTGATTGCGACAGCTGAACAGTGATTGGTACTGTCGCGATCGGACTGATGCGCTGGTGTCGGAAATTCTATCCCCGACTTGGTGATTCAAACCGTTTCTGGTCCAATCGACTTTGGGCATTTCAGCACCCAGAACATTCTGTGGGCGGGTACAGGAACACCTATGCTAAAGATAGTTATTAAGAGGTTGTAGAATAAATTATCGTATCACCCAATATATGGTCTCCATTCAGTAGCCAAAAAAGGCATGCAAAAAAAGGGGATTTGTGAAAAGAGATTCACAGAAAAAGCGGCTACATAATGAACAGAATGTGACACTCAGAAAAATTTCCAAAAATGATGCTTTATTACACATATAAATATGACATGTGGGCAGTCGCCCATGGTTTACCATCACCTCAGTAAGAGACAATACACACAGACCTAAAACCATATAAAATGACACCAAGGACCGGTCTGAATGCATGTGCAACAGAGAAAATGACTACAACGAGTCTAAAGTCTCTGTAGCACAAACGCATCGGTGAACACTTCCCAAAGGAGGTGTGTCCAAAAATTATACCATAGGTATATAATGAAACAGGTTATAAATATGTAGACTGAGCTCCTACCATAATGGTTATATCCTAATCAGGGAATTACAAAAAATATACTATGGATATACAGTGGGGATGGAAAGTTTGGGCACCCCAGCTAAAAATTGTGTATTAATGTGCATAAAGAAGCCAAGGAAAGATGGAAAAAATCTCCAAAAGGCATCAAATTACAGATTAGACATTCTTATAATATGTCAACAAAAGTTAGATTTTATTTCCATCATTTACACTTTCAAAATAACAGAAAACTAAAAAAATGGCGTCTGCAAAAGTTTGGGCCCCCTACAGAATTTATAGCATGCACTGCCCCTTTGCCCAAGCTGAGACCTGCCAGTGTCATGGATTGTTCTCAATCATCGTCTCTGGGAAGACCAGGTGATGTCAATCTCAAAGGTTTTAAATGCCCCGACTCATCTGACCTTGCCCAACAATCAGCACCATGGGTTCTTCTAAGCAGTTGTCTAGAAAACTGAAACTGAAAATAGTTGACGCTCACAAAGCTGGAGAAGGCTATAAGAAGATAGCAAAGCGTTTTTCAGATGTCAATATCCTCTGTTCGGAATGTCATTAAGAAATGGCAGTCATCAGGAACAGTGGAAGTTAAAGCAAGATCTGGAAGACCAAGAAAAATATCAGACAGAACAGCTCGCAGGATTGTGAGAAAAACAATTCAAAACCCACGTTTGACGGCACGATCCCTCCAGAAAGATCTGGCAGACACTGGAGTTGTGGTCACTATTCCACTATAAAGAGATTACTTGTACAAATATGGTCTTCATGGAAGAGTCATCAGAAGAAAACCTCTTCTACGTCCTCACCACAAAAATCATCGTTTTTGAACTTTGCAAATGAACATATAGACAAGCCTGATGCATTTTGGAAACAAGTTCTGTGGACCGATGAGGTTAAAATTGAAACTTTTTGGCCGGAATGAGGAAAGGTACGTTTGGAGAAGAAGGGGCACAGAATTGAATGAAAAGAACCTCTGCCCAACTGTGAAGCATGGGGTTGGATCAATCATGCTTTGGGGTTGTGTTGCAGCCAGTGGCACAGGGAACATCTCACCAGTAGAAGGAAAAATGGATTCAATAAAATCTCAGCAAATTTTGGATGGTAACTTGATGCCATCTGTGAAAAAGCTGAAGTTAAAGAGGAGGATGGCTTCTACAAATGGATAATGATCCTAAACACACCTGGAAATCCACGGGGGGGATTACATCAAGAGGCGTAAAACTGAAGGTTTTGCCATGGCCTTCACAATCTCCTGACCTCAACATCATTGAAATTCTATGGATAGACCTTCAAAGAGCCGTGCGTGACAGACAGCCCAGAAATCTCAAAGAACTGGAAGACTTTTGTAAGGAAGAATGGGCAAAGATACCTCAAACAAGAATTGAAAGACTCTTGGCTGGCTACAAAAAGTGTTTACAAGCCGTGATACTTGCCAAAGGGGGCAGTAACAAGATATTAACTCTGCAGGGGGCCCAAACTTTTGCAGACCACTCATTTTTTTTTTTTTCTGTTATTTTGAAAGTGTAAATGATGGAAATAAAAATCTAACTTTTGTTGACATATTATAAGAATGTCTAATCTTTAATTTGATGCCTTTTGGAGATTTTTCCATCTTTCCTTGGCTTCTTTTATGCACATTAATACACATTTGTAGCTGGGGGGCCCAAACTTTCCATCCCCACTGTAAGTATCACATGTATGCAATGCAGCAAGCACAGTATGCGTCAAAAAGAGAAAAGCATGCCTCTAGGCCTATATGAAAAAAGACATTATTGTCATATATATGATGCAGTACAATCCTGTGCCGGCACAAGTGGTTGGGGCCCCTTCATCTGTAATGTAAACAGCTGTTTCCTAGGGCTCTTGAAATGAGAATAAGCCCCATTTGTTCCCCAGGATTGAGGAAAAGATGCAAAAAGCAGCACACTGCTTGAAATGGTTTTGTCCACTATGATCACCAGGTGGTGCCGTCAGGCTGCCAACTGACAGAACTAACTCAGAGCGTGGGGTCTAAGCCCGGGCTGGTGCTTTCACCAGAGCCCCTGATGGTGGGGATGGACTTGAAACAGTCCCGGGCCAGGTCACGACCTTCCGAGCAGGCCCGCCAGTGGCTGAGGAGACCCTTGGGGACAGGTACCGGGAGAGCCAGAATATGAAGAGGATGGCGGCCCCCAGCAGGTGTAGTAAACGGATTGTGGGCCCTGTGGGGGTAAGCGGGTACAGAATCGGTAGGCGAGAGTAGTCGGGTCACACGCAGGATGTCCCAGGAAGTCATCCGTAGAATGGTCAGGGCAATCCGGGTCAAACATAGGAGCAGGCAGATAGTCAGGACAATCCGGGTCAAAACGCAGGAGCAGGCAGCGTAGTCAGGACAATCCGGATCAAAAGCGCTAGGAGCAGGCAGAATAAGTCAGGTCAATCAGGGTCACAGGATAGGTGCAGGAACTCAGGATCACAGAAGACCTTGCGGCAATCTGTGACAGTGCAGGGCATCTTTAAATAGTGCCCCTGCACTGTCATTGGCCGGCTAGGACGCGCCCCCCAGCTGTCATTGGACGCCTGAGGCGCGCCGCGCTCCTACTGCGCATGCGCGGCGTCCTGTCATCTGCGGCTCGCCGGGACCTAGTGCCCGTGTCCCGGCGCGAGCCGCCGCCACTGCGCATGCGCGAGGGACGGAGCCGCGATCGCGGACCCTGGAGCCGTGGTCCCTGACAGGTTTCTTCACCACTACATGTGGACTACATACCACTTTCAGTAAGAAAAACAAGACACATCCCAAAAGATCTTCTTGGCTGTTGCAATATACGTGGTGTAACTTGTTTCCTATATAAAGCACCGTGATGTCCCATCCTGTAGTGAAACAATTAATATGTGGAAAGTCACTGAGAGAGCTTACACTCTATATAGGATGTATAGGTCATATAGGTCACAGAGGACCATATATCTAATGTCCTGTAACAGTCCACTGCCTGTGCAATGGATAATAGGAAAGGAAAGGATGTCCTTCATAGGTACTGCCATACAAGGCCAGGGAGGCCAAGGAACCACCGCTGACATCCGCCGATATACCGCGGGTTCCAGCCCTTCTTGGCGCCTGTGCTGCTTAGGCTTGCCTCATGGCATGTGAAGATGGCTTCCTCCTTGTAGGCCAGCGTGCGTTCCACCTAGTGCGCATGACCGGAAGTGACGTATCTGACGTATGACGTCAACGCGTTTCGCCGATGGGCGTATCTCACTCAGCTTCGTCAGGACCAGAAGACCTGCGTTCCGCACGCTGACCTACAAGGAGGAAGCCATCTTCACGTGCCATGAGGCAAGCCTAAGCAGCACAGGCGCCCTTTTGGCTAAGATCAAGTGTAGTATCTGTTCTTATCAGTGTCCAGTGGGGGTGCTCCCGGCCATTCTAGCTTTGCGCGGGGATGGTTGTTGTATAGTACCCTCACTGGTAGGATGGGGGTCCGGAAGGCTAGTACCGGGGGGACAGAAACCGGGGAGCGCCACGAGTATAAGCTGGGGCCCGGGAGTAATTCCTCTGAGAAGACTGGAAAGACCCAGTACCTCCTGATTTGGACGGATCTACCTTGGCCTGGCCTGGGGCTGGGGACGCAAAAAGTCCGCAAACTCAGTGCCCCCTGAGTAGTCGCCTCAGGGTGTCACTAGTAACACTTGGGTGTGGGACCCCACGGTGTGAAGATGACACATGGCCACTGTTTTTCACTTCTTTTTGCACAGCGCCCTAAGGACCAGGTCTTTTGGCTAAGTCCGGGCAATTTTTGCTACAGGCCTCAGGGCCCGGTCTGTGCACTATTAGGCACGGTACCACTTTTTTATTTTTTATTTATATTTACCACTCCCACGTTTTGTCACTTTTTCTGTTGCTTATGTGTGTGTTTTTCACGGATGGAGGGTGTGGGTCCTCGGGCCTTCCCTGAAGTCTAGGGGAGGATGTGTGGCCCTACGGTTCCTTCCTCCCCTGATCCCTAGGGGGGTTTTCTCTTCGGGAGAACCCCCTGGCCTAGTACTGGATGTCCGGCTTCGGCTGGGCATAAGGAACGGTGGTCCACCAGGCCTTTTGGCCAGGAGGACCAAATGGGAACCTTGTCCCCGTCAGGAGCTTCGTGCCCTGGGGGATCGGGCGAACGGTCCAACCCTTTCGGGGGTAGGACAAACACACCCCTAAGTGCACTTTTTCGTGTGGTGTTCGCACTTGCACTTTTTTTTTGTGATCACTTACGGGTTTTTCGTTGTAGTTTGCACGTTTGCGGACTTTAAAAAAAAAAAAACAGGCGCCAAGAAGGGGCTGGAACCCGCGGTATATCGGCGGATGTCAGCGGTGGTTCCCTGGCCTCCCTGGCCTTGTATGGCAGTACCTATGAAGGACATTCTTTCCTCTCTATTATCCATTGCACAGGTGGTGAGTGGACTGTTACAGGACATTAGATATATGGTCCTCTGTGATCTATATGACCTATACATCCTATATAGAGTGTAAGCTCTCTCAGTGACTTCCCACATATTAATTGTTTCACTACAGGATGGGGACATCACGGTGCTTTGTATAGGAAACAAGTTACACCACGTATATTGAAACAGGCAGAAGATCTTTTGGGATGTGTCTTGTTTTTCTTACTGAAAGTGGTGTGTAGTCCACATGTAGTGGTGAAGAAACCATTTCAAGCAGTGTGCTGCTTTTTGCATCTTTTCCCTCAATCCTGGGAACAAATGGGGCTTATTCTCATTTCAAGAGCCCTAGGAAACAGCTGTTTACGTTACAGATGAAGGGGCCCCAACCACTTGTGCCGGCACAGGAATGTACTGCATCATATATATGACATAATGTCTTTTTTCATATAGGCCTAGAGGCATGCTTTTCTCTTTTTGACGCTGTCATGGAAATTTTGTATTGTTGGTCGAACTTTAAATGTGTCATATATTCGTGTTATTCATATGTCTCTCGTGTGGCTTAATTAAAGCTCTGAAGGCTGCAATTGGGCCATGCGCATGTACAATGTATGTATTACAGTACTCAGCTTGGTAATGGATGAGATGGCAGATCTGCGCTTATAGACCGGCGTGTATACCACCACGGCATTCCATGCGAATGCTGCTGTCAGTAGACCGTGGGCCTGTATCCGCATATCAGCAGCATGGTACCACGTGGGCTTCATAACGCAAGGCGCCAAGCGGTGTGAACTCCACGTGTAGGCTTATGCATATCTTACAACCCATTACTAATCTGAACTGTATCCGGATGGATGTGTTTTAATAAAGATCGTATCGGGCCCATCCAGGTACAGACTGATATTTTTAGGAGATGCTTGTGCAGAGAATTTACATACCAATAGAAGCTAGTAGGACAGGAAATATGACCTCAGATGGCTCATAGGGGGAAGGGGAGGAAGTCTGATGACCTCAGAAGACTCATGGGGGAGGACCAGTGATAGATAATAGGAAAGGCTATGCTCCAATTGGAATGTACATCCTCTGTATAGGCATTCCCCATTGCATTGTTCGGTGGGAGGGGATTGACTTTATTCATGTGGGGGGCATGTGTGTATTTTTAATAAAACAGAGAGCTGGGTCTAAAATAAGCCCTTATGTGGATTGCAACCATCCTGAGAGTGTCGTGTGATCATTCTAGGGTAACGGAGCTCCAATCTCCCCACATCTCAACAGAACCAAAGTATTTGGAGGGGCAGGAATCGTGTAGTTTAGCTGCAGTCGTGGTAAGCGGGATTCGCACAGCTTTATGGGGGATTTCTGCGCATCCAACTGCGAGTACTCACGGTAAGGAGAAATTCGTTAAAGCGAATTTCCAAGACAACGCATACTGTGCTTGCTGCATTGCATACATGTGATACTTATATCCATAGTATATTTTTTTGTAATTCCCTGGTTGGGATATAACCATTCTGGTAGGAGCTCAGTCTACATATTATAACCTGTTTCATGATATACCTATGGTATAATTTTTGGACACACCTCCTTTGGGAAGTGTTCACCGATGCGTTTGTGCTACAGGGACTTTAGACTCTTGTAGTCATTTTCTCTGTTGCACATGTATTCAGACCGGTCTTGGTGTCATTTTATATGGTTTTAGGTCTGTGTGTATTGTCTCTTACTGAGGTGATGGTAAACCAGGGCGACTGCCCACATGTCATATCTACATATGTGTAATAAAGCATCATTTTTGGAAATTTTTCTGAGTGTCACATTCTGTTCACTATGTAGCCGCTTTTTCTGTGAAATCTCTTTTCACAAATCCCCTTTTTTTGGGTACAGGAACACCCCCCAGGGTTGATTGGCCGAGGACTAATGTCCCGCCTACGTCCATATCCCCATAAATTGAAGACCCTGAGACATGGACGTTGTGATTGGTATGGAGCCGGTCCTATCGACTGACGTATCACGGACTTTCCCTGACTTGCACCAGTCGCAGGATAGATCTCGGTAAAAGTTTTATTCCCCTTTATTTTATAGTGAAATCATTTGGGTCTTCTTGTATTTTTTGTATTTCTGTAACTTTTTATATGTTGTACATATTTTATGCTCCGCCCACTTCGGGAAATTAAATCTTAAAATTAATAAGTGACTTCTGTGTATGTAAGCTCGGGCTCATATCTCCGGAGAGATTGGATTGGATTGCAGTGTCTTTATATGCTCGGTCAAGCTCATTGCCAATCTGTATGCAATCGCCCTGTGTGTGGGCAGATTGTAAAGGAAACAGATCGGCCAGACGGAGATCTGTGTGTGTCCCAGCAGGCCAGTAAAGCTGTTGGGTGGTGGCAGACTACCGTTTGTGGTGTGTCTGGTGTGGGGGGGGTGTGGACAGTGGAAGAGTGATAACACCGGGGTTCAAGCTGTAGGGACTCTAGAAGGGTGTGATTGCTAAACTGCTCCTCAACCCTAATTGTGCACCAGATTGTATATAAGATTTGTATCTGCCTGTGTGTGTGGTCAGCCAGTTGGATTGGAGTGGAGTCTCCCTCTAGTGGTGGCCAAGAGGTAGTGTCATGGCTGATCTTATATATTCAAAGGTTAGTTCCCCTCATTCCCTCTTTACCCCGAGTCACGGCCACACGTGTGCGCCTTGGTTAGCTAGTCGCTGTGGGCGTGTGGGTTGGATCCGTGACACCCCCATCCCTCTCCTCTCTCTATCCCTCCCTTCCCTCTCCATCCATCCATCCCTCTCTCCATCCATCCCTCCTCCCTCTCTCCATTCCATCCTTCCTCCCTCTTCTCTCCATTCCTCCATCCATCCATCCATCCCTCTCCATCCATCCATCCTCTCCATTCTCCTCTCCATTCCTCCATCCATCCCTCCTCCCTCCATTCCTCCATCCATCCCTCCCTCTCCATCTCTCCATCCATCCCTCCTCCTCTCCATCCATCCATCCCTCCCTCTCTCCATTTCTCCATCCATCCCTCCCTCCATCCATCCATCCATCCTCCCTCCTCATCCTCTCTCTCACTCTCTCCATCCATCCCTCCTCCCTCTCGCCATCCCTCTCTCCATCCATCCCTTCCTCCCTCTCTCCATCCATCCATCCCTCCCTCTCTCCATCCCTCCCTCTCTCCATCCATCCCTCTCCCTCCCCATCCCTCTCTCCATCCATCCATCCCTCTCTCCATCCATCCCTCCTCCCTCTCTCCATCCCTCCTCCCTCTCTCCATCCATCCCTCTCTCCATCCATCCCTCCCTCTCTCCATCCATCCCTCTCTCCATCCATCCATCCCTCCCTCTCTCCATCCATCCATCTCTCCATCCATCCCTCCCTCTCTCCATCCCTCCTCCCTCCCCTCTCTCCATCGCTCTCTCCATCCCTCCCTCTCTCCATCCATCCATCCCTCCCTCCCATCTCCCTCCATTCCTCCATCTCTCC